TCAAGGGCATGTACCTTGGCTGCGAGCACATCCCCAGTGGGGGTGTGTGCAGGAGGCGGCTGGTCGATGTTTCTTGCACATCGATGTTTCTGACTCTCTATCCCTCTCCCTTCCTCTCTGTAAAAAATCAATAAAATATATTTTTTAAAAAAAGATCACCCTCACTAGCAGTCAATGATCTGAAAAGTAAACATCTTTTGCCCATCAGATTGACAAAGATAAAGAAGGATCCTTATCAGAATTTGTAAGGATAGTTGTGAGGATGGTGTAAGGCAGGGGTCCTCAAACTTTTTAAACAGGGGGCCAGTTCACTGTCCCTCAGACCGTTGGAGGGCCGGACTATAGTTTAAAAAAAAAACTATGAACAAATTTCTATGCACACTGCACATATCTTATTTTGAAGTAAAAAAACAAAATGGGAACAAATACAATATTTGTATTTGCATGTGGCCCGTGGGCCGTAGTTTGAGGACCCCTTGGTGTAAGGCAAACACTCAAATACAATGCTATTAGAAGAATAAACTGACACAATCTTTCTGAAAATTTTGCAATGTATGTCAAAAGTTTTAAAAACATAGACACCCTGCAATTTCACTGCTAGAAAGTTATACTAAGGAAACAAATGATTATGAAGAAAGATATACATACAAAGATATTCAATGCATCAGTGCTTGCTATAATTAAAAGGAAGGAAATAAATGAAACATTCAAAAACAGGTGATGGGGGCTTGGGTTAAAAAAGTGAAAGGATTAAGAAAAAAAACAAAAAACTCACAGACACAGACAACAGTATGGTGATTACCAAAGGGAAAGCGGGTAGGGGGAGGTAGAAGAGGATAAAGGGGGAGTAAATGGTGATGGAAGGAGACTTGACTTAGGGTGGTGAACACACAATACAGTATACAGATGCTAGAGAATTGTACACATGAAGCCTATGTATTTTATTAACCAATGTCACCCCAATAAATTCAATTAAAAATAGTATGTTATGATAAATCCAAATGATGCAATATTATGAAACCATTAGGAATCATGTAGCTCAAGATACTTATATATACAGAAAGATATTCATGTTATTGGTAAGTTTTAAAAGTTACAAAACAAAGCATATAATAAATCATTTTGTATTATCCTAAACCAAAAAGTAAATGTTCTTTTAGGGTGATGGAATTAGAGTACTATTTCCCTTTTATTTTTCCTATGACTTTTCTATTAAACATGTATTTCCAGACATCCCTCCCCAATGAAAATAAAACCAACATGTATTTTCTTTATTAGCCAAATATTATCAATATCAAACTAATCAATCTCTTATAAATATGAAATTTTGAGTTTATATTCTAGAACTTTGTGTCTTTATGTTATCGGTGGAAGTATAGTACCCACCGGTGGAAGTGGAGGATCCCTTTCCCCACTGAGTCCTGGTCCTATGATATTTTGAGAAAAAGAATTTTCTGAGATTCTCATGGCAGGGTGAATGATTCTTATTTGCATGAAGTTACATCCCTTATTTTTTAAAGTCCCATTTCCCTTAACCCAGTCCTGGAAATGTGCGGCTGGGGATTCAGCAGAGTCAGAGTCCAAAGTTTCCATTTCAAGTAGAGCTGGGTCTGGTTTAACATTAGGCTAGTTGCAGTCCATTAGTCCATTGTGTGGGGGATCCACATGGCTGTGGGCCATGTAGGTGGATGCAGGAGTGTGAGAGCCCCGAAAGTCAGGAGCCCGAACCAAGAGGCAAGAGCATAAGGGCCAAGAAAGCGTGAATCAAGAGAGGAACTCCTTTGTTCAGGAGCTTATGCATCTCAAATCTTCCCACGCTTGCAGTAGCCATGCCTACTCTGGCCAATGACTTGTTCCAGATGTGACTGATAAGAAAGTACCTTCCCTATTTCACCCAGACTTTACCGGGCATGTGTCTAAATTGCAGCTTTCTGGCAAAGCTGCACAAATGAATGGCTATCTTATTTGGCCTTCCCTTTGTTCCTGGCCCTCTTGCTCTTGCCTCTTGGTTTGCCCTCCTGGCTTGCAGGACTCTCACGCTCCAATCCTGAGCACCCAGTGGGAAGGGGATACCCCACTTCCACCAGTGGACACCCCACTTCCACCAATAACATTTAGAAATTGGTTAAAATAGAGATGGACCTCTGGTTCAAATTTCTTTAAAAAAACAATATATATATATATATATATATAAATATAAATAATTTTTTTTTTTTTGACTAATCAGAAGAGTTGATACCCAGGGCCATAGTCTAAGTCAGCTGTGGTGGCCCAGTTTTAAGTAAAAACAATTAATTGTACTGTAAAAAAATCTGTCTTTACCTTTATAATCACCAATTGTTGTTTTAACTGGCATATTGAACCTAATAGTTTTGGCCCACATTTAAAGGAAGAATAAATTACTTGGAAAGAGCCCAGAGGAAAGTAATAAAAATAATTACGTACTTAGAAACTGGGCTCTAGAATGACATGCAAGAGGAAATCACTTGAAAAGTAAAACCAAAAATAACCTTACATTTTATGGGTTACCATAACCTCTGAAGAAGAAAAAAAAAAGCAAAAAAATTAGAATTGTTAGAAGAATAAAGGATTATGTTTATGGCTTTTTGAATTTCAGGCATCTTAAATAATTATAAAAACATTTCTCAATTATACTTGTAGCTTTTTGAAAGTGAAAACATTAATTAATCATAAAGGAATGTAATAGAAGATAAAAAATCAGGTATTTTTCATTAATAGTGAAGAAAATATAGGTATGTAATTTAGTTATGGGATGCACTATTTGACTTCATAAAGGGGGACATTTAAAGTAGTTATTAAGATATGTGCGTGTTTTGTAAGTATTGGTGTGTTTTAAACCTCTATTTTTTTTGGAAAGTGAATGCAGACAAAACATTTCTGTAGCATACTTTAGCATATGACATACATTTAGTATGTAGTGATTTCAGTGACAAACCATTAGTTTTAAAGGGTCCCGTATAAGGAAAAAATGAATTTAAGATGAACAAGAAAGAAATCCTCAGTCTAGGCTGTTTCATCTCCCCAAAAAGTGGCAGCAAAATGACATTAACAACTGCTTTAAAAATCGAAAACCTGTAACAGTAAAGAATGGCTTACTTGATACTTAAAAATGCACTCCAATGCCTCTCAAAAACAAAACAAAAAGCAAAGTTTACAAACTAAATAGGACATTCACAAAAAGAATACAATTTTAAAGGTTTGTCTTAGCATTATTCTTTTTTTGAATAACATATTAAAAGTTTAAACACCTATTTAATGTTTATATACATTAGGGCTTACCATGTATCAGGCACTAAGTGCCTTAGATACTAATTCATATAATCCTCATAATTCTAGGAGGTAGTACAATTATTATCACTATTTTTCAGATGAGGAAATTGAGGCACAGAAGTCACATTAGCCCAAGTTCACAGGACCAGTAACTACTGAAACCGAGATTCAAATCCAGGCAGTCTGGCTATGGAGACTACATCACTGGAATAACTAAACTATTTTGTAAAACTACTTGCTTCTACATATTAATATTTGATAACAATTTTGAAGTTTGCAAATGTTCATAGCCTGCAGTTAGATGTATAGAAGTAAATCAGTGGAGATGAAAGGTAACTTTTCCAATACAAAATTTGAGTAGAAGAGATTTCCTTGACTAGCTTTATGACATACATACATTGGTAGAGTGAGGAATGAGAAAAGACAGATACTACATTTATTTTAAAGGCATTTGTCATGAACTTACTGCTTGGATAAGATTTAAATTCAATAGAATCGTGGGCTGTTTTGAAAGACATAATTCACAAATATGATGCCTGGCCAGCGTGGCTCAGTGGTTGAGCATTGACCTATGAACCAGGAGGTCACATTTTGATGCCCGGTCATGGCATATGCCCAGGTTGCGGCTAGATCCCCTTTGGGGGGCGTGCAGGAGGCAACCAATGGATAGTTCCCTCTCATCACTAATGTTTTTTTATCTCTCTCCTCTCCCTTCCCTCTTTAAAATCAATAAAAAATATATTTAAATATTAAAGAAAAAGCACAGTCAGATTTTGATTATTTAATTACATGACTGATTTTAAAATGTTTATAATATTTTTAATTAAAGAAGAATGTAATTGGAACTTAGGCAAGTGAACAAAATTATGATGAAGAATAAACAAGCTTCTCTCAGTAACTTCTTTTCTATGATAGTATAATCACTTTATTTCTTAATGGAAATACCATTGACCTAATCTGTATGCTACTAAAAAAGGAAAACCATAACCAGGTACAATGTAAGCATAGCACATTAAACTCACTGTAAAACAAAAGAGCTGATTTCAAAGATTCTACATAGTTCTCACATGTTCTAATGCTAAAGATATGTAGGTCTAATATAACTTATATCTCTTTTAGCATTTGTGAAATTAAAGTCCTTTCTAGTTATAAAATTCTAAGTACATTCAATACATAGTACTAAGTACATTGAAACAAATATTGCCAAAGGCTGACTTTTTGACAAAAGAGGAAAATGAGCAAAATGACCTGGGTACTTCATCATGGCACTAACAATGAGTCCGTTCTCCTCAAGGCTAGTGCCTAAATGGACACATGGTGAAACTAATAACCAAACGTTTGCTGACAGTAAACTAAACGGAGACCTCTCCTAAAGTGTTTCTGTGAGTTTCACACATATTTTGATTATATCTCCTGGAACACTTGCTCTCCCTCTCATTACCCTCCTATGATATTGCACAATACATGTTAATAAATTCAATATGCTATATTCACCTCTCATCTTTCCCCACCTCTTGGCCCAATGTAACACAGCTAATCCTACTTTGAAAATGCCTTCATCTGGTTTTCTTCTCTTCCCTCAGGAATTATACAACGCTGGGCCCAAGGCCATCTTTTGAACTCTATACTTAAGTTGCTAGATATGGCAGCCTCTAGCCCATAGGGCTCTTTAATAAACTTAAAATAATAAAGTTACATTTAAATTAAAAATTCATTTCCTTGGTTGCACTAGGCATTTCAAGTGCGCAATAGCCACAGGTGGTTCGTGGCTATCATACAGGGCAGGACTCCCATCATCACAGGCAGTTCTATTGTATAGTGCTGCTCCACACCATCCCCGAGTGGTCCCATTCATGTCTGTGGGTGAAAAAAAGGGGTTCTGTGGAAATTTACCTCAAGGGTGATCTGATCATAAATTCCTAACTGGGCAGGTCATGGTGGGTAGTCATGCCCCTGGCATATATTATTTTAGTAAAAGTTTTATCTTTGCTTAAGCAAGACCTGTCCATTGTTTCTGTGCGTTCGGATCTCAACCTGTGGGTCGCGACCCCTTTGGGGGTGGAACGACCCTTTCACAGGGGTTGCCTAAGACCATCGGAAAACACATATATAATTACATATTGTTTTTGTGATTAATCACTATGCTTTAATTATGTTCAATTTGTAACAATGAAAATACATCCTGCATATCGGATATTTACATTACGATTCATAACAGCAGCAAAATTAGTTATGAAGTAGCAACGAAAATAATTTTATGGTTGGGGGTCACCACAACATGAGGAACTGTATTAAAGGGTCGTGGCATCAGGAAGGTTGAGAACCACTGGTCTAGATTAACACACCTTTGAAATACACCATCCTTAAGAGAGCACATTTTCTTGTGAACTATCCTGTAATCCAATCCCCACCTTGCTTTCTTCCACCTCCATGTAATCTTTCTTACATTCCCTCCTTAATTTCAAATGCATAAATAAGCTGCAAAACTGTAATTCTATGGAGCATTTGAGAGCTTGCTCCCTGGCATATGTCATCAGATTGGCTCAATAAACTAGTAAAAAAATTATCTATAGGTTTGCATTTTTCTTATGTCGACATGTCCATGGTGTCAGTTATCTATTTGCAGAAGTTCCCCACATATGTACTCTCTTGTACAAACTTCCCCTTTGAGCACAAAACCCATGTAGCCAAATAATTTTCCTCACTTTTCCACTTGGATGTCTCAAAGATAACTCAAACCCAATATGCCCAAGAACAAATTTCTCTTATTTTTCTCCAAACCTAGTTTTAGAATATTTTCTTTTTTTCCTATAACATCACCAACACTTAAACCCAGGTAAATAGGTTAGAAAACTCATTTATCCCTTATTTTCCCTCATGGCGTCAACCCATTTCCAAGTTCTTTCTTTCTTTTTTAAATCTTTATTGTTGAAAGTATTATATTTCTTTTTTAAATCTGTATTGTTGAAAGTATTATATTTGTCCCCTAAAATGGAGGAGGTCATTTCCAAGTTCTCTGAGTTATCTTTCCAAATTTTCTCCTTCCTCATATCCCTGGCAGCCTCTATAATCCACACTTTTATAGCTTGATTAGTGGAGAAATCACCCTGGAATCAAATCTTGGTTTTGGCTGAGTGACCTAGGACAAGTTACTCAACCTTTTTTTTTTCTTAACCAAGTGTTTTATCTGTAAAATGGAGGAAATAATAGGACCTTCTTCATAGTGTTCTAGGAATAAAGATTTTGAATGTAGAATTTAGCACAGTAGGCAGGATATTAAGTTCCCTATAAATGTTAGCTACTATTATCATCATCTCATGCCTAGATTACTAAAATTGTATCCTATCTTTTCATGCTTATTCTTGCTCCTTTCCAGTCTTTTCCCCACAAAATAACCAGAGACTGTTAATAAATGTAAATCTGATCATGTGCCTCTCTATCTCCCTGGAAACCCATTAATGGTTTTATAGGGCTTTTAGAATAGACAGACTCATTAATCTCTTACCACTCTTGCCCCTTAATCACTATGTTTTAACCAAACTGGCTTCAAGCTCCCTAGACAGGTCATGTTCACTCCAAGAGGGCTTTTGTCCACAATGTTTCCCTTTTTTTGAAACTCCCCTGCAAATTAGTTTAATCCCAATCAACCTTCAGACTTCAGCTGAAAGGTCACTTCCTTTCTAAGTTTGGTCCCTCTATTTTACATTCTCATTGTACCATGTTCTTCTCTATCCTAGAACTTTAAAAAACATCTATATATTTTTATTGATTTCGGAGAGGGAGAGGCAGAGATAGAAACGTCAACGATGAGAGAGAATCACTGATTGGCTGCCTCCTGCACGCCTCCTATGGGGATGGAGCCCAGTATGTGGGCATGTGCCCTGAGCTGGAATCTGAGCATGAGCTCCTGGTTCATAGGTCAATGCTCAACAACTGAGCCACACCAGCTGAGCCTGTCCTAGAACTTCTCAGTCTGCACTTACACATTTTTGAGTGACTGTTTACTATTATTACTATGCATTTATTTGTTTTCTCCAACAGACATCTCAGACTGAACTCCTGGTATTCTTACTACCCAAGGTTGCTCCATTCACCATCTCCTTATCTAAGAAAACAGCAACACCATTTTCCTAGATGCTAAGACCCCAAACCCTTGGATTCTTATTCATACTCTATATTCATACTCTATATTCATCAGAATTCAACCACTTTCCAAACACTCCCACTGCTACCCATTGTGGTCAAAGCCACATCACCACTTCCTGAACTTTTGTATTACCTCTTAACACATCTCCTTGCTTCCCTCTTTGTCCCCACCCCTTACTCCCTTGTATATTTACAAGGCAGCTAGACTGATCATTGAAATATATGTCAAATCATGTCATTCCTCTACTCAGGATAACTTGCCATCTGCCAGGGATGGAATGGTGTCTCCCCCCTCCCCCCAAATCCATATATTGAAGCCCTAACCTATGTGTCTTTAAGGGGGTAATTAAGATTAAATGAGGCCATAGGGTGGAGCCCTGATCAGATAGAACAGGTGCCTTTATAAGAAGAGATACCAGAGTTCTCTCTTCAACTTGTGACCAAATGAGAAGGTGGCATTCTTCAATCACTCACCAAAACCTGGCCAGGATGGCATGCTGATCTCATTTTAAAACTGCAAGAAAATAAAGTTCTGTTTAAGTCACCCAGTCTACGGTATTTTGTTAGGGCAGCCCAAGTTGACTAATAGCCTATCCCACTCAGGGTACAAGTCAGAGTCCTTCCAATAGCCTAAGTCCTACACAATTTGGTCTGTTATACCCCCAATCTGTGAACTCTGACCGAATGGGCTTTGATTCTCCCCATCCCTTAAGCAGTTTCAGCCACACTGGCCTATATGAAATTGTGAACATGTCAGACATGCTCTCAGCTTTAGGCTTTTGCTTTTCCTCTGCTTGGAATATTCTTTCCCCAGATATTTGCATCACCCACGTCCTCACTCAGATGTCACCTTCTCAGTGGGGCCATCCCGTGGAAAATTTTACCACCTCCATCTCACGTACATATCCTATTCCTTTCCTTAGCACTCAAAGCATGCTCTATATTTCTATATTCCTATAGCATGCTATATATTTTATCATTTGTTGCTCCTTCCCCCCCCCCCCCAACAATGGGCTTCATGAGAGAAGGGACAGTCTGTCTGGCTCACTGCTATATCCACAGAACACAGAGCACCTCATGGTAGGTGCTTACCATTTGTGCAGTTCAATGAATGTGGAAATAGCCACCTAATTAGCCTCAGAGCTAAGAGGTACCATCAGGTCAGCTACCAAGGCAGCAATGCCCTAGTACAGTGGTGGGCAAACTGCGGCTCACAAGCCACATGCGGCTCTTTGGCCCCTTGAGTGTGGCTCTTCCTAAGCCTTAGGAGTACCCTAATTAAGTTAATAACAATGTGCCTACCTATATAGTTTAAGTTTTAAATATCTGGCTCTCAAAAGAAATTTCAATCGTTGTCCTGTTGATATTTGGCTCTGTTGACTAATGAGTTTGCCGACCACTGCCCTAGTAGAAGTGGCACTGCCTGAGGACCACCTGATTTTTCTGGCCTCTTACGGTTTTCTGGTATTATAATGCTCAAGAGGGGATTTAAGAACTACAGCTACACGATCCAAGGGCGGCTCCTTCCTCTCTCCTTCTTTACAACGGAGATAATAAACTGAGATGAAAAGCTGTGCAGGTCCAATAAGATCATGGTTATGACAACTTCTTAAAAACAATCTGGTTGCAGCTCTCTTAACAGCACTGTGTTTTCAAACAGTCCTGCACGCTCTGCGGCTCTTCGATCACACTGCTAGGGTTCAGCAAAGGACGGTGTTGGTTCTCATAAAACTTAAAAATACATAAAACACGTAAGTAAAAGGAAAGTGACCGAAAAAGTCATTCATTGTTCTGTGTTCATGTAGGGCTGTGGGTAGAATTTAGGTTAAAAATGGATTCTGTTAAGGAAGTTGCAAAATAACTACTTTCCTCTACATTTTACCTGCAGCGGTTCTCAACCTGTGGGTCGCGACCCCTTTGGCGGTCAAACGACCCTATCACAGGGGTCGCCTAAGACCATCCTGCATGTCAGATATTTACATTACGATTCACAACAGTAGCAACATTAGTTATGAAGTAGCAACGAAAATAATTTTATGGTTGGGTCACCACATGAGGAACTGTATTTAAAGGGCCAGAAGGTTGAGAACCACTGCTAGAGAAAACGGACCTACAGAGGACCTTTCTGTTTTGATGAAAACAGAGGATTCTTCACCACCTCCTTGATGCCGAAACTTCCCGCTTAGTTACTGCTCTCACATTCACTTCTGAACTTCCTCTCAGCTTTGGAAATACCGCGTTAAAAGTCGTCTTGAGACCACAGGGCATCCTAACTGATCTCCCTCCTCCCACCTTCAAACATCGCCGCTGGTACAGTAAGGTGTCCCCGGAGTGTGGACACACCCACGGCATCTCCACTGGCGAGTCTCCGGTTACGCAAACCTCAGGCTGCCCTGCGGGTGCGTTTACACCTCGAAGGCGGCAGAGGAAACCCTGCCTTTCCCCCGGCTCAGGCCTGGAGCGAGCGCGAGAGTCGCCGCCGGCGGAAGCCCCGCGCAGGCCTCCCCCGGGGCGCGCCCCGCCCGCCGCTCCGGAAGCACCTGCGGGCGGGACCGGAGCGCCCCCGGCGTCCTCCTGAGGAGCTCGGGTCCAGCACCGCCGCGGGTACCACGCGCCTCAGGGGAAGCGGCCCTGCAGCCCTGCAGCATCTCGCGAGATCTCGCCGGCTCAGCACAAGTACAGCGAGTTCAGAACTTAAAAAAAAAAAAAAAAGCCGAGTGGGCTCGAGCCTCTCGAGCGGCCGCGGTGGT